ACGCGGCAAGCAGTGGGCGATTCTGCACTTTCTCCCAATTTCGCACCTAATCTTCGTCATGATTAAGCACTTTTGTTCCATAAAAGTTCTAGCATAAGCGTAATTCGGCTAGCAGATTGTTGGAAAAAAATTATGAGTAAAAAAAAAAAAAATGCCTTTACTTTGTGAAAACAAAATGGCGTCCAAAAAAAAACTAGCAGGTTGCTGTAGCAGGGTTGGTCGCTAAATTTTCGCCAAAAAATCGCCAAGTTACCATAATCCGAAGATTAACCCAAATGGTTTCCAACCTTCTTTCTTTTTTGTACCTCTTAATGAGGCTTTGCAATTATAGTGCATCCCTAATTTCTCTCTTCAGAGTCTCTACCTCCCTTGAATACCTCCCAGTCTTACAATAACAATATTTTAACACCATAAAAATCAATAAATTGAAATGAATATAGTCAGAAAAGTATAAGTTCTTGTTTTTTTCAAAGAATGATAATTTCAAGGATGTTTTAAAGAAATCCCCACTGAAAGGATCTGAAACCAGTGTTTCATTTGGGCAACCAGTGTTTGAACAGTCCCTGAAAGCCTTTTAAATGCATTTGCTTTGTTATTTGAAGCTCAGTTTTTAATGACTTTGTAAAGTGTCACAAATACTTGAGTCTGATCTTTTAGTACATAATTTCCCTACAACCAAAATTGTTTATCATAGCTTTGTATAGTCCCCAAACAAGTTTGATGCAGGCACCAAATAAGAACTACTACTCACAAGTAGTTTCTGTTCTGTATAAAGATCTACTTTTTAACTATCTATTCATTATTGAAATAAACAAAATTTTACTTTTAACAACTTTAAAAAAGCTTCAAGTTTAAAGTAGAACTTTATATTCAAACTGATTTCACTATTACAATTTAAAGAAAGAGAGCTACATATTTCGCTTGATAATTCACTCAGTGCTGAAAATATAGTTAATCACTATATAAGATATGCTGTGACAGAGCTGGGAATAGAGTGGCTAGGTATGATATATACTGTCTTAGGTATCCACAGACCACAGAAGAGTTGCAGGACAAACCCTTTCCCCAAGTATCAAATTGTAAGGCCACAGAAGTAAGTTCATACTGTATGGTGAAGGTCAAGTCTGAATGAAAAATTAAATCATGCAAAAGGAATTGAGTACTCTGACAGATGTGGATACATCAAATTACAACTTATTACATTGTTTTTGAACACAATCCAGCCAGTAATAGTCGCATCAGAAATAGTCAAAATTGCTTTTTCTCTTATCCAAAATCAAACTGAAACTTTCTGAGAATTTTGCTTTTTATTAGTATTTTTTACATAACACTTTTTTATTTAACAATAGTTTATCATGAGTATATTTCCTAGAAAAAGAATTGGTTGCATGATTCGTTCCATACATAATATTAATAAGTTCCTTTAGAAAGTGCTCCAAAAAGGCACGCCTTTCCTAGCCTCATGGGCTTTATCATGATCAGTTAAACTAAATAACTGAATTAAATTATTCCAATTCAAATGAAATTTTTTGAATTAATTTGCAACCTGCATAACTATGTTTGCACCATCATTGAATTTTATTCTAAAGCATTTTTTCTGTTACATGAAAAGGGATGGGATTTATGCCTTTTTGTATAATAGCACACTTTTTTCCCAGGAAACTGGAAATGGCCTAAATTATAAAAATTTTAATGTTTATCTTTTTATATTTTAAAATAAACTAGATTTTTTTCGTATGAGAAAAATTGTAATTATGTACTGAATTTTATAATTAAAGATACATATTTTATAGCAAAACCATACAAAAACTGAAATTTTATATTCTGCTATGTGCAATAAACAGATATATAATATTTATACTGTATAACTTTCTTTTAAATTTAGTCATTTAATTCTCTAAAAAAGTTATGCAGACAAGGTAAAGAATATGTTAAGTCATATAAAATATCACTTCAATTTTTAATCATTTAATTTCACATTTGTCAATTGGCATCTGAACACTTAATGCTGATTTTGTTTTGTCATTTCTGTGGAGAAAAGTATCTAAACATTTCAACTGCCCATTTTAATAAACTACAAAAATGTAAAGACACAACTTCTTTCACACCTGAATGAAACAAGTATCTATAACTTTGAAAAATAAATCACACTAAAAAACATGCTTTACAACACTACCTTGTTTTTTTATCAAGAGAGAATTCTAAGCTGTTTTCAAACATTTGGGTCTAACGCTAACTACATTAGTTTACAAATTATTATTCCCTGAATGATAAACAAATCCAATCCTTTCAGATATGAAGTTTCATAATATAATCATTAGAAACACAAAAATCAACTGAAATAATGGCAACCACTAGTGGCTTAATGTAATTGAAATAATGCCTGATCATCTGAAAAAGATTATTAACCATCTGAGTGGCCCGGGATTTTGGATCTGTCATGAAGACCTATATTTAAAGAGCTTTTATTAGCTAAATGTGTATATTTACCAATTTTAGTCTCTATTTTCATAAACTTACATTCATCAAGATGGCATGTATATTATTAATGAAAGTAAGAAAGCAAAATATCTTAAATTATAAGTTAATATATAACAGTAACAAAAAAATCTCACGACCAGATAAAGCCAGTCTTGCACTCAAAGAGTGTTAAAACAGTATTAGCATATTAGCAAGGATATTTTACATTCAATCAGTTATTGAGGAACCTAAAATCATACCAGGCATTTTAAAATTCAAACTTGCATCTTTTACATCAATACTCACAAAAATATTTTCACATAAATAACTTTTTCAAAATTCTGTTTAACATTTTTCAATGCAGTGATATTCAAATGTAATACAATTCAAAGTCTTTAATTCGGACTCATCGGGACTTTGGCGATTCCGGATTAGGGGTTTTTCTGGATTATAGATCATCAATTTAAATCTAGTAAGATGGCATGCAGAAATTATAAAATTAAAAATATGAAACCGTAATTTATGAAATAAAGAGCAATTATGACCTAAAAGGTATCAAAATTTACAAAAAAAAAACCTTACTATTCATTTGCTTACTTTATTAAACATTTCTTTCAATGTAAGTTGTTTAAGTTGCTTTGTTTTATGTGCTAATACTTTCTCTTTAATTCTATAAACAGACATAATTTCTTGTTCAGTTACAAAGTTCCGCTGTTGAAGTCCTGTAATTGCTGTGCCGAGAATACCGACTAACTTGTCAATCGAAATTTTTTTGTTTCCACTAACGGGTTTACCATAAGTCGTATTACTCGCCAAAATCCGTGCAACCGTCTACCAAAGTAACACCCTTTCTTCATGCCCTTCATCCATTTTTTGCAGCAATTCCACTTTTTGTTTGATGGACATCGAAACATGCTTTTGCTTTGTAGATCCTTTGGCAGCTCCAGATCAAGCTTACTTTTTATAAAATTGCTCTTGCAAAAAATAATAAGCCGGATCCAATTAGAAGATTAAGGAACAACGCAATCTGCAACATTAACTGAAATAGATAATTAAATAATATTTAGCCTAGCTTATACCATCTGTTAGACATTAAACGCGCATGCATAAATGTATTATGTGCATGCATAAACGTATATGCACATGCATAAACGCTTTTGCGCATGTGTTAACACTACGCATGCGCAGAAAGTTTGTAGCTTTGAGGTCCGGATTAAAGACTTTGTACCGTATTTGAATATTACTGCAATATATAGATTAGGTACAGTCAATAAATAATCAAGCAGAGGATATTAAATAAAAAGTATGGTATTTGGAAAAATGGAGACGCGCCTGAAACGTAGTTGCTGGTACAAGGAAAACAATTCGTATGCTTTTCACTTGTTAGGTGGTGATGATGTGAAGCAAGCAACGAGAAAAGGATGATAACCAAGCAGCTGTCAAGTCCATTTATTCCATTTCTGAAAAACAATACATAATGAAGGCATCCAAACAGGTGCAGTGAGGTTTAGTGCTCTTTTTGATGACAGAAAATGTAAGAGGTCAAGAAATCCATTGACAAATGGAAAGGATTCATAAGATCATTGTCAAGAGCTCAGGAACAGAGCAAGTACTTTTGCAAAGGATGCATGTCACCTGGCGATGACAGATGCAGTAGAGTACTGAAGCGTGCCACTGACCAGCATGTTGTGAAAGTGAATGAATTTCATCAAGAAAAACTGTCAATAACGGTAGACGACATATCTGCATCAGTAGGGCTAAGTCATGGTACACTTCACACAATCATCGTGGACATACTAAATTTCCTTAAAGTGTTTGCATTATCTTTGAAATTCCATAAAGTTGTCTCCCACCAATTGACACCAGAACATGAAGTTTGTTGCATGGTCATGTCTCTGCAATCACTGCAGCATTAGATTGATGATGGAAACATCTGTCTGCAGTGGAAGCACACGGATTCCACTCCATTAGTGCTGGCAAAGTAATTTTTTCAGTCTTCTTTGACTGTAAGGGGCTACTCCTTGCTGAATTCCTGGAGCATGGAGCAAACTCAGCAGTATTGTTAAACATTAACAAAGCTCAGGAAGGCAATCAAATTAAAATGTCCTTGTTAACTTTCTCATAGTGTCATCCTGCTGCACAACATTGCTAGACCATATAACAGCTCAGACAACAAAGGAACTTCTGCTGAGATTTAAATGAAAAGTCATGACCTGCCCACCTTATTCTGCAGATCTGTCCCCATGTGACTTCTAGATCTTTGGTGAGCTTATACCGTCTATTACCGTTAGGTATTGCAGGGACAATAGTTACAAAGGGACAATGAAGTCAAAGAGTGTGTGTGCAACTGGTTCAAAACAGCAGATAAAGGTTTTTTGACGAGTATGACATTCCGCGACTAATGTCACAATAGGATTAATGCTTACGCAATTGCGGAAAATATTTTTGAGTTTCAAAATAAATTGTATGAAATATCCTCTGCCTCATTATTTACTGATTGTACCAAATAGCAACATATTAACTACTTTCTCATCAATCATTTTATTAAATATAAAAGATTATACATACGAATTGATACTTGCTGCTGTTTTGGATGAAAGTTTTTCATTCAACTTTGAAATATAAAACCCTCTCCTGTTCAGCCGCAGACACCGTTGAGGACGCGAAGACATGTTCGAAATACTCTCAGAAGTATCGACAGTAGTTTTATCCCTACCATATCCCTTTCTTTCATCTTCGCTAGCTGAAACTTGATTAGGAACATCATCACTTGATGCCTTTCTTTCATTATCTTCAGTCGCTGAGGCTTGCTCAGCCTCACCTGCGTTTCTTTTATCACCACTGGTTGAAACATGGTCAGAAACACTTCGGGATATGGCTGTTACATCATTACCATCAATTGAAGAAATATCACCATTCAGCTGAAAAAGGCCATAGCAAACAATTATAGAAGTAAATAAATGTAAAATGAAATCTAACCAAGTCAACATATTAAGAGGCAGATGATTTAAGTTGAGGTATGCAGGTTTCATGTTACCAGGATAATTTAAAATGATAGAGAAATTAATTACCTTTAACAATTAAAGTTAAAAGACTGAAAAAATCCCATTACTTTATTTTAATGTAAAAAAGTAATTTCATTATTAATATTAAATTAAATATTAAACCTCCGAGTGGCACAGCTTTTTAAATCTGCTTACAAAGACTTGCATTTAAACATAATTTATTAGCTAAATTTGTATGATTACTTATTTTAGTTTTTGCTTTTCTTTAAGATGATATTTACATAATTAAAGAATGTAAGAAAGCAAAATATTTTAAATTATAAGCTAACACATACCAAATGACAAAAATTCTTACAACTGGACAAAGATGGTCATGACACACAGGGGCCTAAATAAGAATTTTGTATCAGGCATGCACTGCCCAAATTTGTTTATAACAAAGACTTAAAAATATTTGGAGAAATCCTGGATGTTTTTACCTTTCCTCTACTAAATATAAAATACTTTCAACACTGCATATCTGCCCAAAGAAGTTTATGAACCATCTTGAACTTGATAAAATCATGAATAAAATAACCTTTGTACAGCTTCCTCATTAATCAAAAGGGGATGGGATTCATCTTATTTTCTTTTTTTAATTTAGGAAATTCATTCATTATGGACATACTACGAGGGTTGGTCAGAAAGTTACTTGCACTGGGGATGAAAGTGTGTTGCAGCACAGGTAGTGGATGATGTAGCGACGCAAGTCGAGGAAGACAGATCGCAAACCATCGTTAGCACAAGTGCTCGGCGTATTGCAGCATCTGTTGACCAACCTTGTTCCATTGTTCATAAACATTCTTCAAAAGGTCTTGCACTACTATTTCTATAAACTATCGCTAGTGCAGCAGCTCTTACCAGCTGATATGTATAGTTGAACTTTTGTGTTACGTTTTCTTGCGCGAGTTGAGCTCTAAGATGAATGGCTAAGAAACATTTTGTGAACCGATGAGGCCCACTTTCATATGGAAAGTGCGGTTAACAAGCACAGTTGCCCTATTTGGGCTGCTACAAACCCACATCAATTCCTACAAATTCCATTACATTCTTCGCATGTAATGGTTTGGTGCAGCTTTACTGCAACCTTCATTGTAGGTCTGTTTTTTTTTTTTTTTTTTTCAAAGAGCACAGCGCCTGTGACATGCACCGTCACCAGTCAACAATCTGTTATTCTGGCTCTTCAGGCTAGCAATGTGATACAACCAGAGTGCTTATGCAGTATGGTGCTCCTCAACACATCGCCCGTTTTGTGAAACAAGTGATCCGGCACCATTTCAGTGAGGACAGAGCCATCAGTCAGCAATTTCCTACAGTTTCACATCCTAGATCACCCAACTTGAATCCTTGCCACTTTTGGCTGTGAGGATGCCTTAAGGCCATGGTTTACAGTGATCCCATCACATCTCTATCCGACCTTAAAGAAAGCATAGAACGTTACATGCGTAATATTCTCCAGTTCCTGCTGCTTTCAACAGTCAAAACGTTATTTTACACTTCCAGATTGTACCAGACAATGGTGGACATCATAGCAAGCATGTTTTGTGAACTTTGGTAGATTTATATGTTCTCAACAAAACTATGATATGCCACCTAAGAGTGGTTTTTTGAAAACTCACTGTTTTTCCCCCAATAAAATTCCCATCATTTCATTCTGTCATTACCTAATTTTCATAAAATTCCACTATATAGTTTTTGCTACAGACTGCTCACAAATTTCAAGTTTAATTATAGACACCCTGTATTTCAGAGTTGGTTAAGGAATATCCTTGTTTGTCTGGTCAGTCCATGTGTAACCACCGGTAATTGTTGAGGTGCACTTTTTGTGTTGGAATTGGATGTTTCTATATTGTTTACTGCAATATCCTTATCTCCTTCCGATTGTCTCAGAGAATCCAAACTTAGCACAACTCAGTATTTGTGTTTTCATAATCAGAAAGCTCACTCTTTTATAATAATTCTAATATTTTGGCATCAGTCAATATTTTATTTACTTCCCTTTTTTTGGGCTGTGAATATCCTACCATACTTGTACCATCTGCCATTTTTAAAAACAAACATAAAAAATTTTAACAAAAAATTTTAACTCCATGCAAATAAAAAAAATAATGCTAAACTAAAATGTGTCTAATTAACCTCTTTGCTCAACTTTTAATGACAAACTAAAAGTAAAGCACATAACTTATGATAGTCAATTACGTCCCAGAGTGTCACCAACATACGAAGTTGCACAATTCCTATGCACTAGCACAGAGCTTCTTAAACTCTTTTCAGTGACCCCTTTTTATCACTAACAGTTTTTTTCATGACCCTATGGCATATAGGACAATTTTGTGGGACCACCATAAGCATTGCGCAAATCCGACACACGCGTGAGTGAAACTGTCAGTTTTTTTCACTTAGGACATAAAACAACGTGAAAATTTTAAATAAGCAACAGGCAAAATGACAGCATCATGTGCAATGCAAGTAAAATAAACGTTTATATTATAAGAAGAATGTGTTGAAACATATTCATTTTTTTTCTTCGTATTGTCTTATTTCTATCTATTTTCAGATACACTGTGTGAAAATATTAGGTAATTGTAAAATTATTATAATAAATTAAAGAAATATCAAAACTGTTAAAATTTTTGGTGACCCCCTGCTGCAGATCCCATGACCCCCATGTGGGTTGCGACCCACAGTTTAAGAAACTAAGCTAGCACATCGGTGGCAGTGAACATGTTGGAAATCTTTTTAAATAACAATTTAATTTCTTGCTTTAATAAAACAGTCATATGATCTGAAAGAAATTCTCAACAATACATTAGAATTAATTCCGTTTTGTTTATGGTCAAGGCAATTTTTAACAGCCTATTGCAGATTTGTAACTAAGCAGCTGAATCATAGCCCTTACATAAAACAAAACAAATGTGCAATTTAAATAGCATTCTATGCTTAAAAGTTTGAGACACTACAAGAAAATTTATAAGATGCTATTAGCTTTACCAATAACTTTTATTTACTTTTTAATGATTTCTATTTAATAGTTTCAGCTATACGTTACAGCTTAATTTCAGATATTAAATGGAACAGAAAAAGTAAAATTAAATTATTTTCTTACTCTCCTGCTTCAAAGAAAATTTTTAGCAATTATACTTAAAGCAGCAGAAAACAATCCAGCTTCATAATTTTATTAGCATGGAATTAAAACCAATTTCAATGCATGTTTAACAATGAAACATGATTTAATGTCACAGCAATAACAGATGTCAATACTCTATAATAGACAAAATAATATCACCTGTCGTTGAGGAGATGCCTGCAAATTTGTAACCTCTATATCCATCGCAGATACAGGCCTAAATGGTATATCATACAACTCAGATAATTTTGGTGAGCCTGAAGACTCCAGATCAGCAGATTCTTCCTTTACAGCCTGAGATGCTTTCTTTACATTTATACACACTTTAATGGTTTCTAAAAAAGTTGAATTTGCAATTTTAAACCAACTTGCAACAAAAACACAAAAATTTACGGATATCTATATGATAAATATATACATTACAAAAATGCATGAAATTGATTAACTATTCTTTGATTTGAAATATGAATAAGAACTGAATGCAACCGTGGCAATGAACATAAATTTTATTATAACTCTCGGTAAAAGTATGTTAATGGGTACCCCTTGGCGATTTTAGGCAGTACATGGATACCGAGTTTGTGCAAGTCTTTGACTTGTTATTTTGGCTTGAGTAGAGGCGACACAAAGCCAAAATAACAAGACAAAGAATTGCACAAACTCCATATCCATGTACCGACCTGTTTTTACTTTTAAAAAAAATCCCAAAATTGCAAAATAATCAAATTGCGCACTTTCTTGGCTTTATCTATATACACATTGACCTATTTTAAAAAGATCAGAGAAAAATAATATAATAAAAAAATATATATAAAAATAATATATAAAAATATCAGAGAATTGCACAAACTAGGCTTTGTGCACTCCCTTGACTTTGTCCATGTACACATCGAACTATATTCACTTAAAAAATCAAAAAAGCAGCCAACAAAGAAATATACAATGTCACGAAACTACATTTTAAATCCAACAAAGAAGTAACATAAAAAAGGAAATTCATCTTTGCACTACACAAAGGAAATATCCACTTATCTTATTTACGAATTAACATATCTTCAGTCAAACAAAATTTTTTAACAGCATCCAAAAACTTCCTAAAATTATCTGAACTAGAACTGTATACTGGCATCACCACATAAATTCCCAAAATAAGAGTCAAAAATACCCTCCATAGTGACGTTCGACCATATGCATTTCCTTCCTACAAACAGGACACCTAATAATGGCTACTAAGTAAAACTTCATTTACACACCAGTCAAGTAATGCTATTTTCTCCTTTCTTTCCAAATTGTACAGAAACTTCAAATTAATCATACCACATTCAGCCATTTTACCATCTAATCCACAAAACAAGCAATATACTTCCTAACCAACACACACCACAAGCTGCTCTTACAAATTTACCGCAATCATGCAACCGATTACGTCATAATAGGGTTTCCATAACATTTAACTACTCAGGCTGCCATAAATGAAACAAGAACTTGACGATAAATAAAACAACTTGGCAATATATGAAACAACTTCGCGATAATACAATAGGTACCCTTCTCTCTTCTCTATTTGAAATCATCCTATGATGCTAAATTTTAACCTCTAGATTAACAGGATGCACTCGAAAGTCTCTTTATTCAGATTCGAGGGCTTGGTAGGTTTAATGACCATTCATCACCTAGTGAAGTTATATTCGGCTTAAAGCAATTATTACTCGCTAATAAGCTACAAAATCATCTTCAAAAGTGTGCATAACTAAAGAAAGCAAAAATACGGATTCATATTTAACATCAGAATTACTTGAAAGGGCTTTGAAAACTGAGGAGGAAGATGCTTTTCCATTAAATGATGATTTGGATTTTATACAGGAACCTTCTCCTATGGCTTGGGAATTAGAATTGAACTCTGCCAGACAATTTTCGACTGCAGAAAAAGAAGTATTAACAAATGTTGCATATTATATTGTCTACCATATGCAGAACAAAGACCTATCACTGGGAACAATACTTCATTCAGAATGGATTAAATTATTGTCCTTAGGAGGCTTGACTGCACCTTCCAATTCAGGGATGAACACAATTTATGGGTTCAAAAAAATATTATGTGCAGTTCATGATACAACTTACTATAAAGGGAAGCATGTAATAGGCACTTTAATTACTAAACTGGAGAAACATTATTAAGTTAATAGAAAAGCAATTAATTTATTTTGCAGAGTGCAAACTTTTATCAGGCTACATTTCTTAATTAGAAATGCATGTTTTTTCCCAAAGAAAAGCAACTCAAAAAGCAAAAAAGTTGATTGTTTCACATGTGGCAGCCAATAAATAACATTTCAACAGCTTGTAAGTGCAGTGTGACTGTGCAAGTACACATGTATATCATTTTGCATTTAAATATAATATTTTTTTATTTGAAATATTTCTGGATGACATTTTTGAAGTTAATAGCTTAAAGCATATTTCAAATGAGAACTAATTAAGTACTTGTTAAAGTTATTCGTATGGTATCCTTTGTAACAAATTATTAATTCAATTTTGTACTAGCTTAGCATTCTAGATAAAACATCAAAGTCATTGGCATAAAAAAAGACTTGCGTCCTTAATGCCCACTTTTGAAAAATTAAATAATTTTTTTAGGTACTGCGAGTAACACTATTTTGCCAAAATTAAGATAACCATCTTACATATATTTATTTAGATGTAAGTTCCAAAATTACTTAAAAAATATCTATTATTACATTAAATCGGAAGAGAAATATGCCAATGTAAAATTTACAACTAGGCAAAAAATCTGCGGTACATTAGCAAAAATTGTGCCATATATTCCATATATGTTTAAAACCATGTCAATCTAAGTTTTTTTTTTTTTTTTGACAATTTTAAATAGCTGTTATTAAAGTTAGAAGCAGTAGTAGAATTCTCACAGTTAGCATGCAGAAATGATTATAAATAAACACGCATTTAAAAAAAAAAAAAGGCAAATTTAAAAAAAAAAAACAGAATTTTATGTTAAAAGAGTAGCACATTTTATCTATTATTTTAAAACTGAGCAAGTATTATTAAATTTTTTAATGTTCAGTGTAAAATGCATATAGCAGTACAACATTGTCTCTCCCAAATTATAGCTTTCTTTGACAAACAGTTTATTTTAAATTCTGGTCCTTCAAATTTAAAACAATAATTTCTATGTAGTGCATTGCATCTCCGTGCTCAGTATCAACATGGCTATGTAGTCCCTTCTCAACTTCCTGTTTCAGGAGAAAAAGCTCTATGAGCTAGATCTTCTCTTCTAAGTCCTGCATACAGTGACAATGGATATGTACAAAGGTGTAACTTCTTCATCACTTCCGTGCAAAACTACTGACTGTATTGTTAGTCTCCTTGGACCTTTCTGAAGGTACCCTCTGTGTCATTTTATTTATTCCTACCAGTTTTATCCGTCAAAATGGGTCTCCTGGATCTTTTTCTTAGTTCAGATGCTGGAAAATAGCAAGCGACACAGATCTGTATGCAAGTGAGCCACATTTCCGAGAAACAGATGATTAACCTCCTTACCTCCTATGAACTGGAAGTTGATCTGTCAGCACTATCCTTACCTTCAGGGCAGATGTTTTTATTTTATTTGGCTTATAATTCCTTACTAAATGTATTTATTTCATCTCGATGTACTCCGTCTTTGATATGATTTAAATCAAGTTCCTCATCATTATAATTCGCTTCTGATAGTGAAGAAAGTGACACAGAGGTTATTGAAAACGAAAAAATTTCGATTGACAAATTAGTCGGTATTCTCGACACAGCAATTATAGGACTTGAACAGCGGAACTTTGTAACTAAACAAGAAATTATGTCTGTTTGATAGAATTAAAGAGAAAGTATTATCACATGAAAGGAAACAACTTAAACAACTTATATTGAAAGAAATGTTTAACAAAGTAAACAAATAAATATTAAGCTTTTTCTTTTTGTAAATTTTGATACCCTTTAAATCATAATTGTTCTTTATGTCATAAATTATGGTTTAATATTTTTAATTTTGTAATTTCTGCATGCCATCTTACCAGATTTAAACTGATGATCTATAATCCGGAAAAATCGATAATCCGGAATCGAAGTCCGGATGAACGACTTTTGACTGTACTTGCTATTAAACTGTGCATTTACTAATCTTCATAATTCTAAAAGTGTTCAGACACAAACTCATTTGCGTCCCCTACAGCAATATTAAGAAAGCCATCACGCTTAGGATTCTAATAACATAGGAAATCTTCTGGAATGGTCAGCTTTTGAATAAACTGAGAAATGTGACGTCTAAAGTGGAGTACTGGGAGAGCACTAGAAACCGAGGGAGGAAGTGTTGTTAACATGCCTAAAGATTGGTCACCCTCGAGTCGCACAGTCACGACCTTTTCAAGGCCAACAGAGAACCTATTTGTTCAAATTGTGATTGCATTTTCTCTGTGCATCACATTTTAATTGAATGTCTGTATTTTAAGAATCTTAGATGGAAGAATTTTAGCAAGTGTGACTTACCTCTTGACCATATAATCAGGAAAGAGATAAATGAAAACTTGTTTCAGTACCTGGAAAAAAACGGAGGTTATTATTTAATATAATTTTGCATACATGTTTTATCTTTATTTTAATAATATATTTTAATGTATCTTATGTTTATGATTTTACTACAGCCTTGTGTATTCCTCAACTTTAAGTAACTGTTGATGTCAACATTCATCATTTTATCATTTCATATGTTATTTTAAACTTGTGTCTATGTGAAAAATGTGCTTTTATCTTGTTTATACTGAAATAACTGACATGGTTTGGCATGGTATGATTTGGCACATATAATCTCTGAGGTTTTGCACCAGAAAATTCACTACTTTTTTTTTTTTTTTTTTTTTTTTCCCCTTTGGCAATACAGCATGATGTAAAGGCTCTTCCATTGTAGAGGTTTTATTTCTCTTAGATTTTTCCTTAAGACAGATATTTTGTATCATCTAGTGGAATACTTTTTTACACCTAACTGACAAAACAAAAATGGTATTTTATAGAACAGCATACAAAAATGATAAATGAGTCTTTTTTTCTAACACTGATGATATTTTTACAAAATTGGATAGTGATAGTTACAGCAATTTTAACACAGATATATTTATTTGTTTATATGTATTTATTTGAGGTAAGACAAAAATTATACATGTTACTTTTTTATGAAAGATATTTTTAATTATTTTTATTTTTATTAATGTGTTGTCTTAAATAAAATCTCTGATTGTTTGGATATGTTTATCTGAGGTAAGTCAAAAATTAAATTACTCTGAATTTTTAGAATTTCAGTATTTTATTAAATTTTAAGGAAAATCTGGAAAAGTTTAAAAATTAAATCTATTAACTACCTGAAGACACCTTTCATAATATACCAAAACCTGAAACAAATGGACCACAAATATACTGATGAGCCAAAACATTATGACCATCCCCCACATTTCTAAACGAACTCGTCTGGATGACATGGAGTGCATATGATTAAGTGGGAATGGTATTTAACTGCTGCTTGGAAAAGACAAGGAATCAGTGATGGGAAAGGGTGCTTGCTGACTTAAGTGAATTTGATAGAGGGCAGACTGTCCACAAATCATCACAGAAAAATGATGTAGAAGAATGTTCCGCTTGGCACAGTAAAATCGGCAGCTGACAGAGCTGACAGCCTAATAATGCAGGTCCAAGTGCATGTGCTCGAAACACATAGTTCAGCAGACACAGTTGGATATGGGACTGTGCAGCAGACATCTCACTCATGTGTCTTCCTTGACCAAGTGCTATCGTTAACTAGGTCTACAGTGGACCCGGGAACTTTGAGACTGGACCATGGATAAGTAGAAGACTGTTGACTGGTCAGATAAATCACGACTGGTCAGATAAACCACAACTGCTCATTCACCACATCAATGGTCATGGCAGAGCATGCCGTCTTCCACGTAAACCGCTGCTCTCCACTTAAGCAGCAGGTCATACACAGGCTGATGGTGGTAGTATTATGCTTTACGGGCCATTCTCATGGTTACCTCTGGGACCCTTAGTTATGGTAGAACAGACCATAAAAGCTGCAGACTATCTGAACATAACTGCAAATCAGTTCCACCCTTATGCGGTGTGTCTTCCCAAACAGAAATTGAATCTTCCAGTAGGACAACACCCTATGTCACAAGCTTAGAATTTTGTTGGAGTTGTTCAAGGAGCATAAGGATAAATTCCAATTAATGTCATGGCCCACCAACTCGCCGAATCTTATGCCAATACAGCACATTTGAGACGTCATGGAGCGGTAGCTCACAGCTCAAACATCACCATGTCGGAATATCTCGACTCAGCGCAATCACTGCTTAGCCATTTAGTACAACCTGCCTCCAGTCATATACCAAGAACTTGTGACATCCATGCCAAGGCAAGTTGCAACTGTTTTGCAGGACAAAGGTCGCACAATGCATTATTCAGCATAAGGTCATAATGCTTTGGCTCTTCAGTGTATAATTTATGCAAATCACCTCCCCCCCAAGTTAGGCTTACCAGCACGAACTGATCATTCCCACAAGACAGCGTATACTATCAGCATACTGCTCCGAGAGAGCAGTTCAGTGACTCAGGTGCCCATCGTGAATAGGTTAAAATAACTACTGTTTTTCATGTGTTAGACTAGCGAAACATTAGTCACCAATGGCTGACAACTTTGCAAGACAGTTTGGCAGAAAAACTGATAGTACCAAAAAATTACAAAAGTTTTCTATCATAAATTTTTGTTTGTAATTTCAAACTCACTATTGATACAATGAAATCTGCTTACTCAATCTCTCTCATTTCCTTTAAAGGTTTCTGGATTATATTTTATACTGGCTCTTTTCTTTGTAGCAAAAGCTTGAAAAACATTTAGGCTGATCTTTAGAATATGGTAACTGGTAATTTGGCAACATTTTGGACGCGATAAAGGTTACTACCTGGGACTTTGGTAATAATGTGAGCAGTACTCAGTTCATGGACCTTACAAGAAATGGTAAATGGAACTCCTTCACGGATATAATGAATAACTTCAAATATACTGTGTCATAAATTAGTCTATGGACGAATCACTCATATTAAGATAAAAATGAAATTTGTTTCAGAAATTTATTATAAAAAATTTCCTTCAAACAATCTCGCAACCACAATTTAACTTGTACAATCCTATATAATGTTCACCCAACAACAGATATACTCATTTGGTAAACCCCATGTGTTGCTATGTTGTCCCATATTTGAATATACCTATTTCTAATAAATTGCATGCATAAGCTGCCTCCCTGATTTCCTTCTGCATTTTTTGTGAAATAAAATGTGTCTTGCACATAATAGCATACAGTTTATTAGAATTATTAATACTGATATCCGTATCCTCAGAAACATTTGGTCACTAAGAGGTTTGCAAAAGAAGGTTCACTGTATAGGTATATATGTAAATATACACACACTAAACACACATTTTAAAAAGAGAAGGAAATTTAGTCATATAAATTCCTATCTCAAGTTTGCTGATGTGCATAATTAAGCCTTTATAACAATAATAAATATGTAAGAGATTATACTAGAATTAAGCATAAAAGAGAAATCTATTGAAGAAATAACACTGCCAATTAGTTACCCAGAAAAGGCATGTATTCATATTATTTTAGTACAAAACAGTCTTGTATACTGGAAGACAGAAAAATTTTGAATATTGAGGCCTAGCTCCAGCATTTTCAGCCTCCTAGGCAATCAGAACAACTGGTGCTTGATATAAATTAAACATATTAATCATTCAAAGCAAGATATTCTTTTTTTTAGTTGTCATATGTTTGGAGCCAGCCCATTGACTATTTGAGGGATTAAAACTCGTCAATTAAACATTAAAAATACACCCAACTCTAAGTGAAAAAAATATTTTTGCATTCTCTTAATAAAATTTTTACATGGATCATACATTTTTTAAACGTAATTTAAAAAAAAAAAAATCTTTAAATTACTGAAGGAAAATTTAAAAGTAGTAATAAACTAGAAATGATTAAGTAATAGATTACAATTAAAGAGTAGAAAGGATTTATTTTAAGTCAGAAATAAGTACATTATTAATAAAAATTTTGGGGATATTCAGAAAACAGGCACTTGGTGAGCTTCATGAAATCGCGTTACGTAACTAGGGAGATAAGCGCCAAACAGTGGAAAGAGTGTTTAGGTACCTAGTTCAGATGGCAACTAAGATGGGGAAAAGCAAAGGAATATTTTCTTTCAATGGCATTTGGATGTCACAAGACTTTGCAGATAAATCTTTGTGCTAATGAACACGACTTTGTCAGTACATGTTTTGAATACGCTATTTAAAATAAAATTTTCTAAAAAATTTTTTTTTTTTTTTTTTTCCAAAAATGCTCCCTTTTTACTTATGGCTCACATTATCCCATATGTATTTACTTACACACAATTACTTTCTATTATTAATTTTTTTAAATAAATTAATTACAATCCAATCACAATAAATTATTTTACTTTTACACTATAGAATATTCTTAGATCACATGTATTTTCAGGTAATTTCTAATTAGAATACAATTTTTTTAATAATATACTTACATTTAAATAAATATATAGGATATTTCTGGCCATATAAATTAATTGTGACTTCTAATTAAATATAATATATTTTAATTTATGAAAGTCATTTGTTTAATAATCTACCCAAATACCCTTTTTCTAATTATGTCCATGTATAAATAGGATTATTTAGAATATAAAAAAAGGACTCCCAGGCTATTTGCTTAAGAGGAGGGAAGCCTGTTAACCGGGGCTTGACTCCAAGACTGCCAGTGAGCAACAGTTTTAACATTTAATGATAAACCTGTCTCATATAAGCAGTTTAACCCCCTCTAATCAAGTTTATATTCAAATATATTTATTAAAATGCTTATGAGACTTTGAAATGGTAATTATTATAAAGTATTAAACAAACATTATTCTGCTATTTTTCTACATGAAGTATATTTCACCGATTTCTTTACATACAGGATTTTGTGAATTAAACATTTCTGATAACAGAAGAGCACTGCCTTTTTTTTTTTTTTTTTTTTTTTTTTAAGCTGCTTCTGTTTCACAGGAACTATCCAAACACTACACATGGCTCTAAATGGCTGATGATTTCTACTGTATGGTTTGTTTTTCCTCGTGTATACAGTGAATATGAGCCAGTTCTTCACAAAGGCATCCCTTCCCTTGGGCATATAGCCCTTGAGTACTTTCTCACATTCATATAACCTAACATCTAAACGACTAGTGTCCTGTGAAGATAGTCACCTTACAGAATATGACTACCATGATGTTAAAAACCAATGTTTGTTTATATTCTCAGAAGCACTAATTTTACAAGTGATCATCATGAGATATTTCACGCTATTTTTTATCAAAACATAAAACTGCATGGCTGGAACTGTTTCTATTAAGTACAGTTAAATTATTAATGTTAGATTCAAAATAAATATAATCATTCTGATTATGCGAAAAATTTAGCTCCATTTCAATCAATTTCTATTTTATACAGGGAAAACTGTTTGAATTTGTATATACTTCATATTTTTTAAATACAGTAACTCAATGAACAATTTGTTACCAAATAATAAAATATTTTCTTTCAAAATTTAAGCTTTAAGTGCACCATCTTACAATGGTGATCCATTTAAAATTCTTCAGATGATTTAGTTTCATTGTCCACTGAGCAAGTACAAAATGTAGTTGGAAAAGAAAGAATTTTTTCCACAAACAAGTCCTTTTGTGGGCCTTACGAGTTCCCAAAAACATATATCTAGAAGGCACAATTATTTGATTCGGTTAATCTTTGGAATATGGTAACAGGTAGTTTGGCGACATTCTGGTAAGGCGATAAAGGTTACTAGCTAAAGACTTTAGCAGTGTACATGGATAAAGTCATATCATTTTTGTGCAATTCTGGGATGTTTTTTTAAGTGAAAATAGGTCGACGTGTACATGGATGATACCGTGTATGTGCAATTCTTATAAACGCGGCAAGCAGTGGACGATTCTGCACTTTCTCCCAATTTCGCACCTAATCTTCATCATGATTAAGCACTTTTGTTCCATAAAAGTTCTAGCATAAGCGTAATTCGGATAGCAGATTGTTGGAAAAAAATGTTGAGAAAAAAAAACATGCCTTTACTTCATGAAAACAAAATGGTGTCAAAAAAAAAACAACTAGCAGGTTGCTGTAGCAGGGTTGGTCGCCAAAATTTTCGCCAAGTTACCATAATCCGAAGATTAACCTTTGATTCTTATACATATAATATCCCTCCTTTTTGTGTGTGTCCACTGTGCAAATATGAAATGTAATTGGAAAAGAAATAAAGAATTGTTTCCACAAACAAGTCTTTTTGTGAGCCTTGCAAGTTCCATGGGATATGTTAGCAGAATCATATCCCACGAAAATCTCTTCGCTGCTACATGAAGCAGCACTAAAAAAAATTCATGTCAAATGTATTTACAAAATTCAGGTATATTTAACATAACACAAGACATTTTCACTCAGGATCATATCCTGAAGTTGAGCACAGCATAGAATTGGGCAGCTGTTCCCACATTATCCAGAACAACAAGGGTAATATTTAAAAAACAAACAACACATTAATATAAAACTCAGTTAACAAAACAGACCTGTTATAAATAATGATGACATAAAGAAATTTTCTCTTCTAAAATTTACTTCCGAACAGAATTTAATTAAGGCAACACGATAATTTACAACAAATCACCATACATGGAGCCAATACATCGTTCTTCATATTCACATGCAATCAGAAACCAGCAGAAAATCATAAGATTCTTTTGACAAATCCTACTGGGTTATAAATATGAGCGACAATTTTAAATTTAAGCATGAGAAATTGGACTTTTATAACTGCCTCTAGCTCAAAATCACTTAAGAGTTAATTCTAAATTAACTTTATCACATTCATTTTAAACAGTTCAAATATGTTAAAGATGTATGCTAGTAACCAAAACTGAAACTATGAGTGAATATGCACCAAATCGAAAGAAACGAAAATCTACCAAACTATAAATTTTTAAAAAGATTTAATACATAAAATGTATTCTTCACCAATGGATCACCTCCACTTACTCTCTATAACAGTGGTGTTTGATTAACGACGAAATACCTCCGTTTCGCGATTTAACAATACGAGAAAAATTTCTAATTCGCGTAATATCAAAACACTTAAGACTACAGCGTCACTTCATACAACAACTCGCCCTTAATGATACTTTAATATTTCGACTGTTTACTTGCCTGTAGCAGATGATAACACGCCTAGTCCCCTCACTTAACCCTAATCAATGTTGCCAAACTTAAAAACGTACCTAATATAATGATAACAAAATGCTCGATAATAATGATAACAAAATGCTCGATAATAATGAGGCAGACTATTAGATTATTTCCATGACACAAAAAGACTCATCAAATACGACCGTTGGAGGACTGTAGGAGTCTTTAACCTTCTTGGTAGGAATGAGTAGGCTCAATTTCTTTTGAGTAAAGGCCGTCAGGCCGAATAGTCCAAAACACCTCAATTCACCGCAATTAAAAAAAATTGGTGCTTGCTGACATTGCCCTTAGGTGAAGATCCCCTGTTTATGCTTTTGCGGCAAGAGCCTGCTTTGTTTTTAGTCTCACTTGCTCATGTTAATTTCTTTATTTTTTCAATGAAGGCGTGGCTACCTTTTGATGGGCGGGGTCTTTTACGCGTTCGTATCTCTTGTTATACCAATAACGCAGCTCTGAAGTTGCTCCTTTTTCTATCTTAGCTCCCTTCCTTCATTTGTACAACTAGTTGATATTATTACAAAAAAAAAGGGTTTTTTTAGACTGACATATAGGTTATTGTGTGCTGCAACACAAAAGCGCTGAAACAGCTTCAACGATTCAGGAGGCAACATGTTAATTTCAACGAGATAATATACTGTTATATGAAGTCGTTGGTTAATTTAGCCTGGACTTCTTCATATGATGAACGGCGATCCCGAAATGAACAGTTTGTAGCACTCCTATTTATCCGTAAGGTTTTCTTTTATATTAGCATGCCTTGTCTTTCAAGAAGTACTCAAAATTATGCTTAATTCCGTTACTATAGTCCTATTACCCATGGAAACGATATTTATTTATCCTGTATTTGATATATGTATTTATACTACGTCACTTTTATATCATAAGGCTAACTTCTTAAATTAAATTTTAGTTGATATAAAATGTAATTTCCTAAATGTTATAATACTTTTATATAAAATTATGCTTGTGTATAAAATTATGCTAGGGTATCTATAAATTTTAATTTAAGTAAATTCACCTATTATATTATTTTTACCTATTTATATGTATGCAATTATTATTTCGTACATTATTTTATCTTATTTTTTGTCTTGCCGACGCTCATAGTTAACTCAATTACACTTAATTACTTAGCGTTACATTTCAGATTCAGAGGTTTCTCCGTTTCAGACATATACACTCCGTTATCCATGACGGCGCTGCGATCTCAAAAGATGGAGGCAAAATCGTAGCAGAGCTTCTGTCTTTGCATAAGTTGGCTTCTCATCTAGACTTAAACGGTAATGCAACTGGACCTCCAATTTTTACTTTTTCTTTATTTTCCCCCCAACACATCATCTATTCAGCTCTACCAAACACATTTATTACACCCACTTGGGAGACACCATTTATTGTAAAAAAACACAGTTTCCTTCCCTTTTGACTACACTCATAGCCTCAACCGTATTTTAGGATTTTTTCTACCTCTTTTCTTTTTCTTTCTATAAGCCCTTTCTTTCTCTCACTCTCTCGCTATTACTTTTGGGCAATGTATTTTAATTTTTTTGTCCATTTTTTCTTCCTGACCTTTGCAGCTCGTATAAAATATAAGTTCCTTTTTACTCTCCTCTGAAATGCTTATTTGCCCCCCTTTCTATGTACCTTTCCTTCTCACCTAAACTTGATTTTTTGCCCATCGGTGCAGAAAGACTTCTTGAAAGTTAGCAATAACCTAGAACAATAGTTGCTTATAATTATATGGTTCCTTCCTCGTAACTACTCTGAACAGACGGTACTTCCCGAGCCCCCGTTTCTTGCTTTGAGGTATGTCTTGAGAGGGAAAGGAGATCTTGGGCTTCGGCAGATGTATCGGTCACATTAAATACAAACTTGATCCTTGCTTTCCCCTGTACGAAATTTCGCCATAGATTGCGCCAAAAGAGTCTCCTTTTCCCGCCAGGTTCGTATTACATTATCAAAATCTGGGATGTGAAGCGTGATTGATGTGAGAAATTAAGTGCAAGTAAGCCGTATTTTTGCGTTTGAAAAGCTGGAAATTATAATAAATCGGCTACTATTCATCCAAATAAAATGAATATGGAATTTGAAAACAAACTATTTGAGAAATCTTCCAGTAGTATTTAAAGATTATCTAAAACATTTATTTCAAAATGACAGTGCGTTTACGTGTGAACCATAAATAAACTTCTTCATTAATCATAAATAAAGTCTTGATAAATAAACTTCCTCATTGTAATTAAGATACAATAACAACCTCCTTATTGTATTCAAGATTTTAAAAGTGTTAACTGCTGCTTTATGATAAATTTATACCTTTCCTTTCAGTTTCTTTTTATTGATGCTGGTTGGACCGGTGGTTTGCAAAGAATAAGTCTGTACACCATTTTTCTTCCGAACGCTTTGCCAGTTTTCATTCATCATGATAATTATATTAATTATATTATTGAATTATTAATTATATTATTGATTTATTAATTATATTATTATATATATTATCATTTGTAAGCCATTTTAATCATTTACGAAATATTAATAAATTATTCCAAAAGTGAACCTTTGAACTGCTTAGTTTCGTATATGTACTTCAATATATATATACTGTAAGCTTTTCTCTGGGTTCGGAGTACTTTCAGAAACTTAGACAAATAATATAAATCTAATTATAATAACACAAATTTAATTAAATGAATATATGAAATGTACATGAGATACTTTTCTTGATTTCTTCATTTACTACGATAATGCATACATAACTGTTATCACAAACAGTACTTTTATCACATAAACTATAGTTCTTAATCTTTACACAAAATATTCTTATCGTATAAATACAAACATAACTAAATATATACACAAAATACATACACTCTTATCATAATAAAAATATATATATACAATATCTTTATCATATAAAACTATAGTTTTTAATCTTATTAAGTGAACAGCCCAGACTAATAACTAATTTTGAGATCAGAATATAATCACTCAAATTTGAAAGACATGTACTTAACTGAAAACATTTTATGAAATACAGCATTTAGAAGCCAAATAAATCATTTAAAATAAGGCTGTTTTACACACAAATAATTTCTATTTTATTTTTTACTGGTATAATTTAATGACAATCTCATTTAAAATTGTTCTTAAATTCAGTGTCAGATACAAGTACAGAGGGTATTAACATATTCTTAGGATGATTTTGAGACCATTTCAATAACATTTTAAATGTAAATATATATTATCGAAATGTTCAATCTGATCATCTTTCTTTGTGGACTATAAGTATGCATTGTGCTCTCCATAACAGAAAGAACTTATACCAAATAATCAATATTATTGCTTTCTATTTTTTTAATTAATTTAATTTAATTTAATTTTTTTTTTAATTGTTAATTTTTAATCAGTTGTAACCCATTAATATGAATATTTGACTTTGCCTTTAATATATGATAAAATTAGACTTGTTTGTACTATGAAATACATTTAAAAAAAAAATTAACATCCCCAGATGTTTAATTCATTTTCCTAATTTATATATAGCTCTGTACTCAGGTTTGTAAATGTTTGCTCGAGTAATTAGGATCACCAGGGCCAAAGGTTTTCAGAAGCTTTGCCTTACAATATCAAAAAATTCAATATATTTTTTACATTTTATTTGGCTAAAATATTCTAGAAATTAAATAATATTTTAAACAAGGACATGAAGCATGACTTCTGTTTTTGTGAAAACATATGCTATCCAGACTGGAGGGTATTTCCTCATTTCTGTTTGTGTATGTGTATAGTATGTATGTATCTTCTTCACATTTTATTTTCATTCTTACTGAAACATCAAAATTATGAAACTCGTTGATATAGGAATCTCATTAGGGAATGTAATGATGTAATAGTGAATAATTATTAAATTGGCATGCACTTATGAAATGGGATGCAGTTCATGTCACCAAATTAAAAAATCTGATTTGGACAGCACATCATTCCCTTGTACACATTGTTTAATTTGTCCTATTTAATTATATACACTTTTTGTTGCAACAATAAATTGCTATTAAATATTGTTAGCTATTTAGAACAGTAAATTGATGTTAAATATTGTTAGATTAACTACATGCAAAAAATGTTATTTATGTGTGTAGTTAGATTTCTTTATTTGTTGAAAATTAATTTTTTAGTTTAACATTGCTAAAACATGAATATTTTTGTCATATACACTTCTGTCATTGGAAGTTTATTACTATGACCAACGATTGTGAAAATAAAAACTGGAGAGGTACTTTTAAGTCAGGTAACAGGTAGGTATGTATACTTTCAGTATATATATATATATTATTATTATTATTGTAAGGGCACAGCCCCCGATCCTCCTAGCCAGCACAAGCCGGCCATATGATTAAAAAAATGGAACTCGCCAGAAAAAAACAAATTAAATCCAAAATCTGAGTCTCAGTGCCGAATTCCAATTCTTTCTTTGTTCGTATTTATAACATAATATCCTCTAGTCTGGATAGCATATTTTCCTTATTGCCTCTGCAAAATTTTTTAAAATATATATACTTTATATGTATATATATTATCTGTTATGGTGTATTCAATATATGTGTTATGGTGTATTCAGTATATATATATCCACCTCAGGTGCAATTTCAGTTTTACCAATTGCAGTAAGAAAGATGTGTACAACTAGATGTTATAGCAGTCTCATATACAGAATTTTAATGTACTACGGCCAATAATTTTTTAGCTATGCCAGATATGTATGTACATGCACGTCATGAAAAATTTCCTTTTGTGTTATGAAAAAATTCTTTTTTTCTGTCCATATGTAAAAGAATTATCAAAAGGTACATTTCTGTTGAAATATGACGCCTGACATTTTTTGTGATTATCTTTATTTCATACAAAGAAGTAAAAATAACCACATAAGAAAATTGATGCAATTTACATTGCCTCAATCT